CTTTTTCCGCTGTTGTTTATGTTTTGCCTTTCATGCAGACAGAAAGAAGTCTTTCTAGCCTTTAATCAATACATAAAGTCCTCTCCATATATATCAAATGAGTGAAAGCTCGTGTTTTTACTCCTCCTCCTCTATTGCCACCATAGACTTAGTTGCATAAATAAAAAAAGGATTGTACCAAGGGCTACATATCTTTGGCCCAAAAGGGCAACAATGTTGCTATATTTTCAATCTCAATTTATAGTAGTCAATCTAATGTTTACATTATGCTGTCTATCCAAAATTGTTTTGTATTTCTTTTATTGTAGAAAGACTCTGTTACGATATATAGCATAGTGAAATTTGAACACATATTGAAGATCACTTTTATGCAGGCAAGCTTCTGCTGCTCTGCATGCAATGATGAACTAGTGATTATTGTTGATAACAGGTAAGTATTCTTTTTGCCATGTTACAGCTATTGTAAGCTTGCACGTGCTCTTTATTCTCTTCTAATTTGTCACCCTGTCTCTGAAGGAAGTCCATATGTGCCCCCTTTACTTTATTTTCCATTTTGTCTAATCCCCCCCCCCCCCCCACCCCCACCCCCCCACACACACACACACACACCCCACAAACTCCACAACAACAACAACAATAAAGCCTTTAAGTCTTAAACAAGTTGGGGTAGGCTAGAGTTGAAACCCAGAAGAAGCAATCAAGATTTAGGCACGTGAATAACTATCTTCCAAGCACTCCTATATAAGGCTAAGTCTTTGGGTATATTCCATCCTTTCAAGTCTCCTTTTATTGCCACTACCTAAGTCAACTTCTGTCTTCTTCTGCCTCATCACGTTACTATCCTGGCTTAGGATTCCACTACGCACCGGTGTCTCTGGAGGTCTCCGTTGGACATGTCCAAACCATTTCAACCGGTGTTGGACAAGCTTTTCTTCAATTGGTGCTACCCCTAATCTATCACGTATATCATCGTTTTGAACTCGATCCCTTCTTGTATGACCGCAAATCCAACGCAACATACGCATTTCCGCGACACTTATATGTTGAACATGTCGTCTTTTCGTAGGCTAACATTCTGTACCATACAACATAGCAGGTTTAATCGCCGTCCTATAAAACTTGCCTTTTAGCTTCTGTGGTACCCTTTTGTCACATATGACACCAGATGCTTACCGCCACTTCATCCACCTTGCTTTGATTCTATGGCTAACATCTTCATCAATATCCCCATCTCTCTGTAGCATTGATCCTAAATATCGAAAGGTATCCTTCTTAGGCACTACTTGACCTTCCAAACTAATATCTTCCTCCTTCCGAGTAGTAGTGCCGAAGCCACATCTCATATACTCAGTTTTAGTTCTACTAAGTCTAAAACCTTTGGACTCTAAAGTCTTCCGCCATAACTCCAGTTTCTGATTCACTCTTGTTCGGCTTTCATCAACTAGCACTACATCGTCCGCGAAAATCATACACCAAGGGATGTCTCCTTGTATGTCCCTTGTGACCTCATCCATCACTAAGGCAAACAAATAAGGGCTCAAAGCTGACCCTTGATGTAGTCCTATCCTAATCGGGAAGTCATCCGTGTCTCCATCACTTGTTCGAACTCTAGTCACAACATTGTTGTACATGTACTTAATGAGCCCAACGTACTTCGTTGGGACTTTATGTTTATCCAAAGCCCACCACATAATATTCATTGGTATTTTATCATAAGCTTTCTCCAAGTCAATAAAAATCATGTATATGTTCTTCTTCTTCTCCCTATACCGCTCCATAACTTGTCTTATTAAGAAAATGGCTTCCATGGTTGACCTTCCGGGCATGAAACCAAATTGGTTCATAGAGACCCGCGTTATCGCTCTCAAGCGATGCTCGATAACTCTCTCCCATAACTTCATAGTATGGCTCATCAACTTAATTTCCCGGTAATTAGTACAACTTTGAATATCCCCTTTATTCTTGTAGATCGGCACCAATATACTTCTCCTCCACTCATCAGGCATCTTGTTCGATCGAAAAATATGGTTGAACAGCTTGGTTAGCCATACTATAGCTATGTCCCCGAGGCATCTGCACACCTCGATTGGGATACCATCCGGTCCCATCGCCTTACCTCCTTTCATCCTTTTCAACGCCTCTCTGACCTCAGATTTTTAGATTCTCCGCACAAAGCGCCTATTGGTGTCATCAAAAGAGTCATCCAACTGAAAGGTTGTGTCCATATTCTCACAATTAAACAATTTGTCAAAATACTCTTGCCATCGATGTCGGATCTCATCCTCCTTCATCAGGAGATGCTCCCTTTCATCCTTAATGCACTTAACTTGGTTGAAGTCCCTTGTCTTTCTCTCACGAACCCTAGCCATCCTATAAATGTCCTTCTCTTCTTCCTTCGTACTCAAATGTTGGTTAAGATCCTTGTACGTTCTACCCTTTGCCACACTTACAGCTCGCTTTGCAGTCTTCTTTGCCACCTTGTACTTCTCTATGTTGTCCACACTCCTGTCATGGTACAAGCGTCTATAGCATTCTTTCTTCTCCTTAATAGCCCTTTGGACTTCCTCGTTCCACCACCAAGTATCTTTAGCCTCGCCTCTACTTCCTTTGGTTACTCCACACACCTCTGAGGCCACCTTTCGAATGTTGGTTGCCATCTTCTCCCACATGTTGTTTATGTCAACTTCCTTTCAAGAGCCCTCTTTGATAACCCTTTCCCTGAATACCTCTGACGTCTCCCCTTTCAGTTTTCACCACTTTGTTCTTTCAATCTTAGCTTGTTTATCCATATTGGCATGCACCTGAAAACGAAAGTCTGCCATCAAAAGCTTATGTTGAGAAACAACACACTCCCCTGGTATCACCTTGCAACCCAAGCATACTCGTTTGTTCTTTCTTCTTGCGAGGACAAAGTCAATCTGGCTAAAGTGTTGTCCGCTACTAAAGGTTACTAGATGAGATTCTCTCTTTCTAAAGAAAGTGTTGGCTATCATCAGGTCAAAAGCTACCGCGAAGTCCAGAACTTCCTCCCCCTCCTGATTCTTACTACCATACCCAAAACCTGCATGAACTGCCTCGAAGCTTGCGCTTGTAGTACCTACATGTCCATTAATTTCTCATCCTATAAAAAGTTTCTCACTACTAGGTACAGCTCTAATCAGGCCAGCAAAGTCTTCCCAGAACTGTCTCTTAGCACTCTCGTCGAGGCCAACTTGGGGGGTATACGCACTAATTACGTTTAAGACCATATCACCAACGACAAACTTGACTAAGATAATCCTATCTCTTTGCCTTCTCACTCCCACCACACCATTCTTGAGGCTCTTATCAATCAAAACTCCTACTCCATTTCTATTCGCGATTGTCCCTGTATACCAAAGTTTGAAACCTATATTGTCCACCTCCTTCGCTTTTTGATCCTTCCATTTAGTCTCTTGAACGTATAATATATTTACACGTCTCCTAGTCGCGGTATCAACTAATTCTTTTAACTTACCTGTAAGCGACCCTACATTCCAACTACCTAAATGGATTCTAGTTGTTTCGACTAGCTTCCTTACCCTTTGCACCCGTCGACTCAGATGTGAAGACCCTTGCTCATTTTTCACTACACCCGGGCGCGGCCATTAAGGAAGCGACGACCCGATCCTTGCTCACTTGACACCATGTCCAGATCACGACATGGCGCGTCACCAAGGGGGTGCCGACCCGGCCCTTGCCCATTTAACACCATACCCGGGTTCCGATATGACGCGTCGCTAAGAGGGTTACACCCCAACGATTTTCTTTCGGGTTTCATCTCCATTCGAATGGCTAGATTTAACGTTAGCTCGCCACGCCTATCACAACCCTCCTCCTTTACCAGGGCTTGGGACATGCTACGTTGAGACAACATAGGCGGAGTTACACCCCACAAACTCCATGACCATTTAATGTGTAGGAACCTCAACTTTGCTTTTCATAATGTTAAACTTTAGCACTAGAACCTGCTCGAAATTGTTTAGGACTGTTGTGGTTTTAGAATTTAAATGGGAAAAAAAACAAGCCACAAAAAATATTGTGAAAAAAGTTTGTAAATAAATGATTCGATAAATCTTGAAAAGAGATTTCTGGTGCATGCACACCTCAGCTACAGTGCAAAGTTCTGGATGCCAGTCATCACGGATGATGAAGAGATTTCTCATCATTGTTGACAAAGTTTATATGTTTCTTTTTGGAATTTTCTAAAGTCTTTTTTTTCATTTTTTTGACTTATTGAATCTTTTATTTGGAACTGCTAGAACATATAAACTCCAGTTGTTTTTTGTGGGGTTCCCTGTGTCCCAAAACATCTGGAGTGTTTCTTCCGAAAAATTTGGAGGTGTTTCAGTATTTGTTCGTCACTTAAATCCAAAAACCGCTGCCATGTCAGCCGAAACCAGTTTTACTGGGCTTAGGGGTCAAAACTAAATGGAATTGAAAGTTGGGATACTCAAACTAAACGTTATTGGAGTTAGGGTCAAAACTAGAGAAACTGGAAACTTGAGGAACCAAATATGGACTTATTCATATGTGCTTATTTGGTGTTATGAGTTCTTACCGCTTCATGCTGGATAATAAGGATGCATTTGGGCCTTTCACTAACAGGGGATTTTCATATGGGATTTCATGTTTGAATTGTGGATGCAATAGTTTTTCATCACTTTGAATGCTGACAATACTGTAATGTGTAAGATTTTTTTTTTGCTAATTGTAGAATATGACAAAAACTACATCGTTTATTTTGTTGCAGAAAATTACTGTTATGCTGGCATGTTTGTTTTGTTAACTACATTGTTTATTTTGTTGCAGAAACTTGCTGTTGGTTTTTGTTCACATATTACTATGGGCAGTCAAAGATTTCTACAACCTGCATTGCACATCTTATTATTAGAGAACTACTCCAGTGGTTACTAACATACCGTGCTAGCCACTCCATAGTCAACATTTCTGCAACAATACCAACTTCACTACTTGTTTACATGGAGTGCAACAGAGATGAGGCTGCTAGAGCGAAAGCTCTGGCAGAAAGAAAAATGATGGACAAGGATTTTGTTGGTGCAAAAAAGATGATTATCAAGGCGCAGCAACTCCTCAAAGAAGTGGATGACGTTGACATTCCAAAAATGTTAACTGTTTGTGATGTTCATTGTGCTGCTGGAGCTAAGGTGAATACTGAGATTGATTGGTATGGAATACTGCAAGTACCTGTAAATGCTGATGACACACTGATAAAGAAGCAGTATCGTAAGCTTGCCCTTTTGCTACACCCTGACAAGAACAAGTTTGGAGGCGCAGAGGCAGCATTCAAATTAGTTGGAGAAGCAAACGTAACTCTTACAGACCGGTCAAAACGTTCTGTGCATGACATGAAAAGAAACACCTTCAGAAGCATTATAACAAGACCCAATCATCAGCCACCAAAAAGACCTGCACCTGCTAGATCTAGTTCTACTCCTGTGAATCTCCATAATATGCATCAGCAACATCAGCATCAAGCCTCAAATCCTACAGGGCCGCAAACAACATTTTGGACTATTTGTCCATCTTGTGGCATGAGGTATCAGTACTACCTCTCGATCTTGAAGAAGGCTTTGCGATGTCAGAATTGTTTGAAGCCATTTATCGCACATGATTTGAAGGACCAAGCTATTCCTTCTGGGGCAAATCAGCGATCTGCTGGGGTTTGGAAAAATGCAGGCGCACCACAGAACTCTGCAGGCCCTCAATCAAATGTCACTGGTCAGAAAGGTTGGTCTGCCACTCCAGGAGTTCATGTTAATATCGGTTCTCATCATGCTAATGTAAATACAAAGAGGGAAACTGATGGTAATGCTAGCGCAGGTGGGCTGAAAAACAAAATGAAATCTGCCCGGGCCACCAGGAATCCTTCAAAAGCTTCAACTGCTGGATTGAAAAGGGGCAGGAGGGCGGTATTTGAATCTAGTGAGTCTAGCATATCAGAAACCAGCAGCGACAGTGAGGAAGAGATTCTAAAACATGGTCCTGAAAATAGTGCAGGGCCAGATCAACAAACTCGCAGATCTAGCAGGCAGAAGCAAGAAGTTAAGTATAATGAGAATAGTGATGATGATATTGATGATGCTGAAGATGATCATAACACGGTTGAGGATGATTTTGTGGATTCTCCTGCTTTGAAGAGGTTAAGAAAAAATGGTCTGTTCCATGGTAATCAAAGCAATAAAACAGAAAAGCTGAATGAAGACATCGCTGGCCATAATGGTCCTATAAATGGTGTGAGTAACTGCAGTAACATGAAAGGTACAAAGAATGATGGTATGCCATGCGGAGAGAAGACTTTCAATGGAGTTGAACAGATGAAGAGAGAAACGATGCATGCTGGAGAAAATAGTGATGGCAAAGAAAAGGTATTTCATTCTGTCAGCACCAATGGTCCTGTTCTAAACGATGATGATGCTTCAGAAGATCATAAATACACTTTCCCAGATCCTGAATTTTTTGATTTTGATCAACTTCGAGATGTAAGTCAATTTAGAGCCAACCAGATCTGGGCTGTCTATGATGATCAAGGCTGTATGCCTAGATTTTATGCTCGAATCACAAAGGTAAAAGTTAGTCCAAAGTTTATGTTGCATTTTGTTTGGCTGGAGTTTGATCCTGCAAATAAAGCGGAGGAGGCATGGTCTTACAGGGGTCTGCCTGTTGCCTGTGGACACTTTAAGCATGGACAGTCAGAGACAACTAAAGAGACTAGTATGTTCTCTCGGACTATATCTTTTGAGAGAAGCAAGAGAAAAAACTGCTATGTAATATATCCAAGGAAAGGTGAAGTTTGGGCCCTTTTTAAGGGATGGGATATTGGTTGGAGCTCAGATGCTGGCAATCACAAAAAGTTGAACCATCAGTATGAAGTTGTTCAAGTCCTCTCTGATCTCACCACGAGCACTAGCATTATTGTCATGCCGCTTGTGAAGATAAAAGGCTATGTTAGCTTATTTATGCAGTCTGGAGAGGCAGCTCCATATGTGATACCTCAGGGTGACACACTAAGGTTCTCTCATTGTATCCCGCATCATTTGATGAGCGGAACTGAAAAACAAGGCATTCCAGAAGGATCTCTTGAACTTGATCCTGCAGCGCTTCCCTTCAACTTGGAAGAGGCTTTTCCTTCTGCTAACGCAGAATGCAGTTCTGTAAGAAGTCAGGACCGTGACTCCAAACATGCTGGTTTTTCCAGTGGAGATCTCAAAGGATCCATGAATGTGGGGCAGGGGCAACATACAAAATCCGTGAATGCAGGGATCCCTACAAAGACACCAAAGGAAGAGAAAATCAAGCATAACACTCATCTGCCTGAAGTTACAGATGTCGATGACGATGATGATAACATTTGCCAAACAGAGTATGTATGTGCTGAATCAGAATTCTATGATTTTTCAGAAATAAGATTGCTCCAAAGGTTTTCACCTGGGCAGATCTGGGCTCTCTATAGTGATGTAGATAAATTTCCCAATTACTATGCATTCATACAGAAAGTTGATCTCAGGAATGATAAAGTACAAGTTAGATGGCTGGATGTCTGTCCTCAAGGAGAAGTGGAGAAAAGATTGTCCCAAGAAGAACGGACCATTGGCATTGGAACCTTTAGGCTTTCCAATGTCCACGAGATGATGACTTACACTGGCACAGATGCCTTTTCTCATCGTGTTGAGGCCAGATATACTGGCAGAAAAGGCGAATATGAAATACTTCCTCATCTTGGTGAGATATGGGTGGTTTACAAAAACTGGGGAGCTGGATGGACTGCACAGGATTTTGAAAAATGTGAATATGAACTGGTGGAGATACTTGGCCATACGGATTCCTCCATACAAGTTCAGCTTCTGAGGAAGGTGGATGGTTATAAGATGGTATTTATGTCATACAGATCAGAGGGTTCTGTGAAGACAATAAGGAAGGATGAGTACCCCAAGTTCTCTCACCAGATTCCCTGCTTTCATCTCACACATGAAAAAGGTGGCAAGCTTCAAGGCTATTTGGAGCTCGATCCCTTATCACTACCAGAGGCATTTCTTGACTGATTTCGATCTGAGATAAACCTTATCAACAACGAATCTGGAGCCTTCTTGTGATGAAGTTTCTGGAACTGAGGCTCATTGAATGTTAAGGTGCACAATTCAACATTGTTCAAGTGACACTGACATAAGATGTCTGTATTTCAGCATTCGTAGCACTAACCTTCTTATTTCTTAAGGTGGACTACCAATCTGCACAACGAAGGCATTGACTGTTAGACTCTTCACTGGATGGCTGTCCTGCAGCTGCAATTCACAAGGCTAGTAAATCGTTTGTAGTTAGCTTTAGCTGTATCTAGGGTTTAGTTCTGGTGTAAAAACTGCCACTTTTCTTCTCTTGTAGTGTACTCTGGTAGTACTGTGTTTAAACTGTGGGATGCATGCCAGCCTGATTAATTATCAGAAGAGTTCTATTGGCCATCCTTCCCTGGAACTGAAACATGAAATCGAGATAAAGCCAGGTCAGGCTGATCGAGCAATGTGTTATGCTTGTGTTGCTTTGCAGGGGACAGGGATGACATCTCCTGCGGCTTATCATTTCTATTCGCATCTCCCTGTATCATTTCTATTCGCATCTCCCTGTATATAGCATCCAGATTTTGATATGGCCATTTCTTTTCTTGAATTATGTTTATTTGCTACTACAAGTATTAGATGAGTCTCTGTCAAGCCTTTTTGAATTGTGTTACAGAATTGTTATGAGCAGGCATATTAGTTGAATTTACCATTCTGAAACATGAAGAAACGACCAAGCCAGATACAGAAATGTTGGAGGGGAAGGGCGTAATCACGGGAGGGTAAGCAGCAGATGAATCTTATTACTTGATTTCTGATTACAAAACCTTCACTTCAATAGCCGGCCAACAGCCCAATTAATTCTAAAACAACCCTGATCTTAAGGAACTAACGAACTCAAAGGATACCCGTATATCTATAAATAAAGTACCAGTATCGTAAGCAACCAACTGAACATCCTGAAGAAACTAAGGGCATGTTTGGCGCCACTAGGAGCCTTTTGGGCAGAACCAGTTTTTGCAGAGCTGGAGCCCGAGCCTGTTTTCCCAGTTCCGTGCGTATGAACGCAAAAACAGCTGCAGCCTGTAGCCTAGTGGTTGGACTCCCTCTGAGAGCGAATGTCTCAGAAATTTAACGGCTTTGTGCTTAGAGCGGTTCGTGACGCTTTCCATCGACATCGAAGCGCATGTGGTGATTTTGTCGATCTCGTCTCGAGTATTTGTTGGTGTTGACACTCAAATTGGGCCTACGCTGGTTTTAGAATCGATCTGTGCAGTTTTTGCTCAGTCTAAGAAAAACTCTATGAAATGACATAAAAATAGTACCACATTGGATTTCCAATGGGATAAGACCACTCCTATTCCATATAAAATATAGGGTATATGACCGATCGAGGTATCTAACTACACAATAGATTTATTATTATCAATTTATCCACTTTTATCACTTATATCTCTTTCAACCCCTTGTTGTCCTACACGTCCCTCGACGGAATTTGAGTGTTCTATAGGTGGCCTTGTCGATCCTAGAACACTCCCGCCGTGCATCTCGCTAACAGGTCTTCCCGGAAGCATTCATGGGTTTATTAGGCGAAGAATGAGCGTCTAATCATCCTCGTCAACCTGCTGGTGGTTGGCCTCGCCCTTCACTGTGTACTAGTCGGTTGTGGCCTCTGAGCAATCTAACACCTACTAGTGTGTGACCCAAATCAGCGTCAACGGCCGGTCCAATCTTCAAAGGTGCGCGTCAACAGCCGGTCCAATCTTCAAAGGTGTTAATAGAGAGGATTTGCGTACGCGCATTCAAGGGGTGAGTATATGTCTGTTGTAAGCATATGTGTTGTACTGTATAAAAAAAAAGAAAAAGTCTACATAACCCCCTGACCTTTGGCATTGTCTACTTTACCCCTGAATTATAAAACCAGGTATCAAACACCCTAAACTTTCCTAAACCAGGTATTAAACCCCTTCTAGTGGTTTTGGCTCCTGGTTTTGCCAACGTGGCGGTCCAAGGTGGCTCACATCGACACATTGGCACTTGGGCCCACACGTCATTGAAAGGCAGATGCAAATTGCGATGCTTGAGGTGCGGCTAGGCGAGATCTCCATGGGCGTTGGCGACCTTGGCCCTGTCCCGCTCCCACCCCTGCTGCCCCTGGCCCTCGGCGTGCGAGAGGAGATCCCAACAAACACATACCATGTGAGCACAAACGCATTCGATCCATCAGACTTGTGCACTGCGAGAACAAGAACAAGCGGTGAGCAAAATTTGTCGAGCAATAAAGAACAGATTGATTCCGATCTCTCGTCTTTTCTCCATATTACAGACCAAGCAATAAAGAGCGACCGGGTGTAGGCCGAGCGGCACGGTCGTGGAGGTGCACACTGCGGGTGCGAGCAAAGCAACGATGTCGTGTTTTTGTAAACCGGACTAGTAAACTTATGCGATTGCCGTGCTGCTCTAGGAACACGATGGTAGCATCCAATGGACATGAGGATTTATACTGATTCAGGCCGGAGCCCTACGTCCAGTCTCAGAGATGATCGAGTGCGTGTTCCTCGCTTGAATGTTCTGAAGTTCTTACAATGGGGGTGCAAGAAAGGTGGAAGAGATGGAAGGTCCTATGCTAGGTGAAGGGTTGCCCGAAGGGAAGCTCCAGGAGCCCTGCTACAATGGTGAATGAATAGAATGGTAGAGGATTCAGAATATCTGGAGAGGGTGCCTTGGTTGCTCTTATATAGAGTTCGGGGCCATGGCGCATACAAAGCAGGAGGTTCTCCCGACCGAAGGGTCGAGAGCCTGAGGGAGGTCCTAGCTAACTTGGCTTGCAAGCTACGCCATCTTCTGGTGCACGTTCGGTCGTGGCTATCGTTATGGTCTTCTAGCCGCGTTGCCATAGGGTGTGGCGTGGCGCTACTGTGCCGACCGTGGCGGCACTGTAGCCTCGATGGTGGTTCGTTAGCCGTCTTGTGCAACGCGGTGTCCGTCGTGGCCTTCGTCATTGTCTCCTGGTTCTCAAGGGCGTCGTACCCGAAGTAGGGAGCTGCCCTAGGTCGTCGTTCGCTTGGTCTCTTCGCGAGGCCGAGGGCCACGACCCCGATCTTTGGGGTCGGGGAACTCTACCGATTTGGATGTCCTTTTCGTCGAGTCCCTTGTCGTGGATCCCATATCGTAGTGGATGGGATCATAAAAGCGTATAGTCGGTCTGTATTTGGATGGTTGGTATTGTACCCGTTGCCAACGTGGTGCGGTGTTATCTCGTCGGTGCGGCATAGCACAGGGGTGGTGTTTGACCGGGCGAGGTGACTGTTGTCCCCTCGGTCCTTGCGGGGTCATTGCGGCATGCTTGCTCTTATCAGAGCAGGCGCGCCTAGCCACGCTTGACCTCTCCCCATCCCTTCCAGGGGTCATGACGGGGGGAGGTCGTGCGTCTTGTGAGTGCCGTGTGACTAAGGCTGGTGTAAGGGGTCGAGGATGACCCCAGCCTTGGCGCCTTGCCCACTCCGCTCGTCTTTCGCTGGGCCTTGGCCATTTGGGCCCTTGTTAGCCATTGTGTTGCGGCCGCCCGGACTGCTAACTAATCGGTGCCTTGAGACACCCTGGGGTTACAACCCCGATAGTAGCCCCTGAGCGTTTTTGCGATCACAAAGTGATCGTGAAAGTGCTGGTACGCGCGTGTGTTAGAGCGTGGGCTCATGGTTGCGCTGTTGGCGTGAAGTCATCGAATAGGGAGGGTGTCCTTTTCGGAATTTTTTCGAGGAGTCATTTCCCCGACCTCTCTTTAGCTCGATTGTGAGCATTTTTTGCGATCGTGCGCTGGCTCATAGGTCTTGGACCTTCTATTATGCTATGTGACCGAGCCATGATCACGCTTTGGGCTCCGCATTGCGCGTCGCCCTGGCCTTTTGCTTCGTTGATCTCTCCCGGAGAGGTTGTGGACCCCTGATGGTTTGTGAGTCTTCAGAGCGGGCCTTAGGCCTGTGACCTGGGATGCAGGGAGGAGTTAGTCGTGGCTTGGCCCTGACTTCTTTTGGGGTCACGGGAACCCAACTCTAGTTTTTCCCCGCGTCCTTGCTGACCCCGAGAGGTCGTGTTGCTTTGTTGAAGGCGGGTTTGGTTTCGCCCCACACGGAGAGAGGCATGTGCATGTCCACCGTAAACATGTGGTCGGAGCGGTGCACCTCGTCGGGGTCTATGGGAAATTTGAGTGGAACCCGATATCCTCCCTAATCGACATGGAGTTTGGCTGTGCCTCACGTGAGACGTCCCATAAATTGTCGGCCATCAATCCCGTTGGTCCCCAACCGCCACGCAGCGGCTAGAGGACAAGATGCCTTCCCCAGAGGGGGTCAACCTGGGAGACTTCAAAGCAAACAACTCGAACACAGAGAGAGATGGTCATGTGGCTCTGCACCACCGATTAAACGTATGGGGCCCATCTCCTCCCTGCCCCTATCCCTTTTGTGGCCTCGAGCCCTTCTAAGGACTGGCCTGATAGAGAGTTTCCTAAGCATGACATGGGGTCATGGATGTGGAGGGCTGCTCGGTGTGTGAACCTGGGGGGTTGTCGACCTCCCCTAGCCACGTTGCGTCCTGGCGGTGACCTCTCGCATGTAGTTGTGCGTCCTAGAATGCAGGTGCGAGAATTTGCGAGATAATGAAGGTGAAAGGTTCGAGGCTTACTCTGGATATGTTGCCGCGCTGGTGCCCACTTGCTCAATCTTTCAACCGGCCACCTCCACCTCCCGTGCGCTACAAGGAGATGGTTAGTAAATGGCAGAGTGTACGCGTGCGTTTGATGTACCTCCTGTGACCGTTGTTGGGTCTTGTGTCACCTGGGAGACTGAACCGCCGTGTCTTTTGCCTCTTGATTGCGAGTGTGTCTTGGGGTTTACGTCCGTCCTAAATGTCGACCGTCGTCTTCTCCGCCTTTGTCTTCATGCCGCCTATTTAAGTCGAGGGAGAGGAGGGCAGTGCGCCTCATCCCCACT